TACTTGTTCTTAATTGCCATTTTAAATAGAAATTAAATGAATGAAGGGTGATCACTGGCTTTTGCACAGTACTGCATGATTTGTGTGTGTGTGTGTATGAATGTATGTGTGGCTCAGCCATCTAGGCATCTACAAGCGACACTCCTTCAATCATAAATTGTCTCACGTCTGAAGTATAATCTGGAAATTGTCCACTCTGAGGCAAAAGAAATTTCCCTCGAGTGTCACAAAGCAAGCACGTGTGAGGACGAAGACAGTGCGCACAAATCTCTTGCTCGCCCCTCCCCACTGTTTCTGCCTCACACCCACGCACATACACACACAGAAAATAATGATGAACACTATTTCTGTGATCAATTATTAACAGCTGTAGGTGTTTGTGTGATTTATTTGCTGCTTTAGTATTACACCGCCCCAAGCAGGACAGAGAGAAAGAGAGAGAAAAGACGAGAGTAAAACAAATAAAGCACTTTAAGAAATACAGAGAAAAAGACTGAAACACAAGCACTTTCTGATTTAACCCATAGCGTGAGCAGCATGCCCGGGCTTCTCCTGTTTTGGTGGCTGAAGAATGGGTCATGTGGCAATTACCAGAGCATATTGTAGTAAGCCCACCCACCCAACTCCCCTGCAGCCCCCCCAGCACACTGTTCCAAAGCATGGAGAGCCCGCTCCCACATGACATCATTAAAGTCAGACAAACACCCTAAATACTTCATGGTCCTCACGCTCCTTTCACCGGGTTCTTTTTCTCCCTCTCTTTTCCCCCCAAAGCCTGACACTGTCGCTGTGAGAACAGATAGACTGTGCTCAGAGTCTGTATCTCCATCTGTATACACTGCCAAACGTCATGGGATAGCAGTATGTAAATTGACTATGAGGGGGGGTGGCTTGGGAACACCTGCATCTGTATAAGTTGTGAGGTCTTATCTTGTGAGTGAGGTTAAACACTGGTCGGCGTGCTTATAGTAAGGCGACGTGAATTACCGGAGTTCAAACGAGCCATGATAGTGGGTGTTAGTTGGCTTTCCCAAAGCACACCACTGTTATATGCAGCATGGGTCAGTGCACAAGTAGGCAATGTTAACAAAGTCATAGCCATGCTCATTATCCAAAAGCCAACAACAGGCATCAAAGATGCCTATGAAATGCAAGAAGAGCAAACACATGAGGAAAATGGAAACATGGATAATAAACAGCTCAGAATTGCAGGAGATAAATGAGAAACTTCACAAAGAGCACAACCAAATGAGTGAGTATATATAGCCGTCTTAACAAAGGCATAAATGAGGAACAGGTGTTTGAGATAATTAGTAGGTGCTAGTGTAGAGCTGGAGCAGGAAATGGACAATCAGGACTGGGATAATCAACATAGAGTGTTGTGGGGATGCACTCTTGAAAATATGGGTACTTTAAGGTGATGCCAGACACTGCTAGAAATACATACATTTTTCATTTATCAAGGTACAAACAATGTAAATGTATCCTTAAAGGTACAACAGTGGTCTTAGGGGCCAATTGCGTACCTTAAATGAGTTTTCCCGGGTGAAAAGTATGTATTTGTACCTTTTCATAACCTAATGTTTTAAAGCAGAACAATAAAATAAAAAGCCTGGAGACGAGACGGGGTGTGTGGAGTCAATACAACTTAGAAAATACAATTTCAGTGGATTATGGTACAATTATGTTCCCTGACTAAAGGTACTGAGATGTACCCTTAAGGGTACCACCCCAGTGACAAGAGGGGTTCTGCCCCAGTGACAGTTTCAGACCTTTATTTCTGAGCGTGTTGAAGAACCACTTTTCAACATATGATTGAACGAATACTCCAGCTTTTTTCAACCTAATCTAGTCTAACACATCTGTATGGTCAGTTACCATCACCAATATTTTCAGTGCTTTTCCTTGTTTTTGCATATTGACTCAAAACACACTTACAATAGACCCTTCATTAGAAGATTTTGGAAACTTTAGGGAACAAAAGATGATTCTTCTACAGCGGGCAATATGGCCTATTGCATATGTACAATTTATCCTTGAATCCGGCTCACAAATTTTCCATTTTATAAATATTTACATCTGATGGGTTGACCATCCACCTGACACAGGCTGGTTACAGTGTCATAAGATATATAATATATAAGCTATATATAAGGTATATAAAATCAGGCTGATGCTTATGATGCTAAAAGCAAAGTTAGAAAAATGCAAGAGGATTCAAATGGAAACCTGACAAAGCATGAACTGCATGCATACTGAGTGGGCATGACTGTATTGTAGCATGAATATGAATATGAACATGAATATTTACACTATGAATAACTGTTATTCTGATTTAGACTGATAATAAATCTGTCTTTGTGGATTTATCCAGGACATAACTGTAAATGCAGTATGTCAGAATTAAGAAATAAGTGGATCTACTTTTATTAACACTTCACTCCCAATAACTTCACTCACATTCAGCAGAAACCCCAATACTATCACCATAAGAGTCCCATATAATTCTACTGTTAAATGCGTGTTTGCTTGATATAATTAAACACTATGATATTTATTTAAAAATATGTATTTATGCTACTTTTACCACCACTTGTTGTTATTATTAGTAGTATTATTAGTAATAGTAGTAAAAGTAGTAGTACTAGTAGTAGTTGTGGTTTAAGACAGTTGTGACAGATGAATTGCTAACAAACATTGACTAAGATTAATGTCTGTATATGTTATATACACTATACAGTATAAAATGACTGTATATGTTATGAAGTTAAAATTCATCCTTGGAAAAAAAAATATGGGACATTTTTTTTCAGCATATTTCAACTGGCCCCACTTGGAGAAGACCACCTGGCTAGTTTCCCCCAAGTAATTTGGGCTTGAGATGCCTGTTCTTTGGCAAGAGCTCTACAGGCATATTATTTTTAAGAGTGTAATTTTGGAATAAAAGTGCAATAAATTCTTAAAACTTTACAAAGGCTCTATAAGGGAAACCAACATGCTTCCCTATTGAATGTAAAGCTATGAAATCCAAGCTCATTCATCCTAGACTTTTATTCGACAGTGTGAGAAGTACGAGAACTGTACTTCACTGCCAATTCCCTTTAAAGTCAAGTATATCACTCCTCTTCATAAAGGTCAAAATGTCTTATGCAGTGCCATTGAGACTAAAGACTGTGAATACTCATTCAATCAAGGATATTCAACTTCTCTGCATTTTACAAAGATATGCTTAAAGAATGAAAAGGAGTTTGACAGGGGGGTACTCGCTGGTGAAAGTGAAAGTAAATGGAGTGAGACTTCCCTCCACTGTGATTGTCTAGGATATCAATCAAATGTATTCCACAGCAGATAGTTTCAAAGCATAGCAAAGTATCTAGAGAAAATCTTGTGGCAAAGCATTGATATGCTGCTGTGTCAGTTCCACAACGTCACTATCAATCAGCTCTTTATAAAGATGTACAACGCATCAACAACTTTGAACCAGCTTTAAAAACCTCGTCTGAATTCTAAATGAAGAATATACTGTGTTCTGGGCCTATTGTTTGCACTGGCTGTCCTTGGCAACAGAGTTTTTGAGTTCTGAACAAAAGAATGAAAGACTGTATTCAGTGCTTTTTGAATATGCAGAGGTGCAACAGTCATAAACATCACATTAAAAGTGCTCTATAAACACCAGTTTACCTACCTTGTACCTGCACCCATTGGTACAACTACCATGTACAAAATTGTGTAAAAGAAAAACCTTTATTTATTTGATTTTGTGTCAAAGTGGCTATAAACCCTCTGGAGTCCACAAACCTGCCCGGGAGTCAAATTTGATGTTTCTACATATGTTTCTCTTCCTGAATCTGTAGAGTCAACCCTTTTAATTTTACCCTATCACAAGATCATACATGATACACATCATCTGCCTCTCACCATGTGTAATTGGTGGATTCGTGTGTCTGTCTCCATTTTGTATGAAACCGTCCAAAGGACACTAAGAACCTGCCCATCACATTGGAAACCCTTCATTCTTAATTCAGTCAACTTTTGAGACACATGTAAAATGGTGTGCAAAGAATTTACAGCCGCTGAAGTTGCTGCAGTGATTTTGGAAAGTAGCGATTAAGAGAATGCCAAATTTTGATATGAAACATATGGGTATTATGTTATATGCAAGTGCCTTTAAAGGCGAATTTAAGAAGATATGCAAATATAGACAAAATGCCCTTTGACCCCAGAGGGTTAATTCCATGCTGTTCATTTTCCAGGGGGGATTTCTGAGAAGAAGATATAATGATTAGATTAGATATAAGATAATCCATTCAGCATCCTTGAATGAGTTTGCCATTACTTAGATTGTGAGAAGGAGAAAATGCAACCAACTTCTAAGACTGAACTTCGGAGGTGTAAAAAATTCTTGAAAGTATTCTTGCAAACTTCTTTGAAAAACTGAAAACAGGTCTCCCAAAAAGAATGTAAGCTGTAATAAAGATACAGGCCTGGATTCATTGAACACTGTGAATTTATACATTACATTTAGACTTCTGTGTAACTTTCCCTCAAATATGTTTTCTGCTTTTCCTGACAGTAAAAAAATAATAACTTTCACTTAATGGCCATTTTGACAGCATATTAAATAAGCAAAGGGTGGTCACTGTTGTGCTGAAAATGGCTCACCATCTGAATAACATGTGGTCAGTGGTGGTCCTATAGTGGCCCCTTTCCACTAGTAGACAGAGTAGATGGGGAAACAGTGCATCTAAATGGTCGATATACCTGATAAAATGCCCAATGAGTGTAAATAAAACACATGGAGTACCTAATAAACTGGAAACTCATTACTATTAAAACTTTGCTATTATTTCACTGAGCTCTTCCAAAAACCAGCTCTGCAACAAAGCGAAACTAAAACACTTGGTTCCATTATTAAGACTTGAGGCCTCAGGTTAGCTGCACATTCATTTAGTGCTGGTGGACCTTTGTCCATACCCAGTCTCTCTCGTTGCATCTGTTACCTGGATCCAAGGCCATCTGTCGTTCTCGGCAGCCGTCCAGGCATTCACCAGACCCTTCTTGTTGAGACGCGCGAAGTAGGGATACCACTTCTGCAAGCCGAAGAGAGCACGGTGGGTGGAGGAGGCAGTGATCTGCTGGTTGGAGATGATGCCTCCTTCCATGCCAAGTGGACCGGAACATCCTGGTCAAGACACAGAAAGGACATTTGAAGACATGCGGTCAAGCCAGTCCCTTATTCAAGGTTAAAGCAAGAGATGGGTAATCCCTAGAAGTCTAGAGTGCAATGATGTAAATGCAGTTATACAACGAAATAGTGTTTTGTAATGAATTGCATTTATATTGAATTCACAAATGCTTCTGTTCAGGTTTTCATTCGACTTATTTTGTATGTCAACCAAATTACAAAAATATTCAAATCAGAATAAAACATCTCCTCTTCTATTAACAAATGAAAACAGCAGTATGGATTAAAGATTTAGGATCCACCCTTTTGACAGAACAGTCTTGTAGTTTCAATAAGCTACAAGAAAGAAATTATTCACCATGCTTTTGTTATCTTTATCTTCTAAGGTTTAAACATTTAAGGCTTTAATGTGCAAGCCAGCATAAAGACAAGATGAAAACATGATCAATGAGGTTTGCAAACATCTACAGTATTCATTTTTAACTCAAGTTATGAATGCAGGTGACGTGCCTACACAAATATTTTTGCGTTTTGTCTATCATAACAAAATATGATAATTTTTTACTTTGTTTAATAAGCATAAGTATCCCTTTTCACTGAGGTGAGCATTTTAAAGAAGCACTGACCAAAAGAAATAGTCCTAATTTAGTTGTCCAATCTCCAGTAAAGTTACAATTTCAGGGATTCAAAGTTTTTTTTGCAACATACAACATTTTTTGTTCATCAAGGTACAAGCAATGTAAATGTACCCTCAAGGGTATAACAATGGTTTTAATGTCCAACTGTGCACCTTAAATAAGTTTTTTATATTGGAAAAGTACATATTTGTATCTTTTCATAACCTAATGTTTTAAAACAGAACAATAAAATAAAAAGCCTGCAGGCGATACAGAGTGTGTGGAGTCAATACAACTTAGAAAATATAATTTCAATGGATTACGGTACAATTATGCTCCCTGACTAAAGGTGCTGAGATGTACCCTTGAGGATACCACCCCATGACAGGAGGGGTACTGCCCCAGTGACAGTTTCGTACCTTTTTTCTGAGAGCGTACAACAGAAGAAATTGGTTTGTAAATGCCTGTTTTTTTATTTGAAGTGTAAAACTGCAGTGAGTCAGGCTAAGTGGTCATTAAGTACTGAAAGGACACATCTTTTTTCTTGGACTCAGGAACAGCATCATCTCCTGCAACCTTGCTTTCGGTCACACTCTCTCACATCGCGCCTCAGTCCCTGTCCTTGTTTGTCTCTTTTCTGGGCTTTCTTTCTGCTCCTCGGAGATGTCTGCAGAGATTCTACTCAGTGACAAACTATCTTTGGCCCCACTTATCCAGATTATCTCCTTGCCTTCATCCTTAGCTTTCCATAGAGATTCTCCTGCCTTGTTAAGGATGACTGTGTTTTTTTTTCATTGTTTACCTGCACAGCAATTATGGCCTTAACAGGTTCAGTCTTTCAAAAATGATGACAGCAATGCTTGATAAACATGCAACTTTTAATGTTAGTACAATGATCCTTAACAGGAGTCGAAGGTTTCTTCTTGAGATCTTTCACCATGAAAAGAGCTTTGAGGATCTCTGTAAGAGATGCTTGTTTTCTTTTATCGACAGAATGATCATCCAGGCATCTCTCCAGGTTTAAATACCCTTGCCATATGAACAAACAAGTAGAGAAACATGAATTTAATAGAATTTAATGTAATTAAGCTTTTTTAAAAGGGAGTTATATTCATAAAGACACTCTAACAGAGTCCTTCAGGATTTTGGCCTTGGTTGGATTCTCATTTTTTTGCTCTTTTATCTCACATTTGTAGTGTTGAAATCCCGCCAATGTCCACCAACAAAAGAATCCTCTTTGGAGCTTGTGTTGATTTTACATGCCTATGATAAAATGTGTACCCTTTAATAGTATGATTTAATTGGGCCATGTCCTACATCGGGGTTGCATTCCCAGAACTTCTTAGAAAGAACTATTCAAAGCAAGGACATGAAATAAAAGATGGAACTGTAATGTTATAGGAACATTCTATCAGATCTTCTATGCCTTAAGAAATTCCTTTGTTTCGTGTATATATGTAAGTTAAAGGTCAAATACAAAACCAAAAAACATACAGAATAAGACAAGTGATGTAGAGTGGTAGATGTTATGGCGCATTACTTGCTGACTGAAGTGCGCTTCAATCTTCATAGAACCTTTTGCCTATACATTCTTAAAGAAGGTACCAAAAGGAGTTCTTTGGAGCCGTGCCATAGAAGAACCTCTGTTTGCGCCCTAAAGCAGTTTTTTTTTTTAATATGGTCCTCAGGGACCCCCCATGCGGTCTAGGATTGTGCTTCAACATAATTTGTAACACAGGGGGATAAAGAAATGTGGACCAGGTGGGGGACCCTAAGGACCAGTTGGAGGACCATGGCCCTAGAGCAGCGGTTCATAACCCTGGTCCAGGAACGGCTTGTTAATTAGCAGATTGGTTGGATCAAGTGGGAGAAGGGAAAACACTAACATGTGCTGAGCAGAGGGTTGGGAACCACTGGCCTAGAGGACCATTCAGTGGATGATTCTTAACAGAACCATTGTATGGACATTGTCAAGAACATTTCAAATTTTAAAGAACCTCCACATAATGTTATAATACCAATTAAAGAATTTACTCAAACAGTTCAACCAAAGCCATGAACTGATACGAAACCTTTATTTTAAATATATGTGAAGCACAGAAAGTCTATAGTATAGGCAGATTCTGAACAAAAAAAATTTAGGTGTCAGATATTTTATTATAATATATTATTTTAGTTTTACATAGGAGATGGGTCATTCCACAGAAACGTCTGTTTTTGTGTCCCTAGCATTTACAGGTATATTACACTTGAAAAACATGTTAGGGTTACTTTTTTTTTTTTTTACATTTTCAAATAGAACAATAAGTTATTTCAATTATCTAGAATTCCAAGCACCTCACAGGTGCTTGTCCCCACAGTCATGTGCAAAGAATAAGTGCCATATTTTTAAGAAAAACACATTTTTCTGCAATTTTAACTATAATAATCTATACATGACCATGTAATACATAAATTAAATGACATAATGAAAACAAATGCCAATAAATATTATAAACTATATAATGAAAGTTGTTGTCCCAAGGAGTCGTGTCACTGGTGTTACTGCATAACAAAAAACCTCTTATTTTGAATAAAAAATCACACTGATGACATCACTTGACTTCCTTTTACCTATTTTCTGAGGACCTATGAAAAAATGACATGGTAAGTCCACTGTGTCTTCTCAGTTATCAGAAATTTTCTCATTTAGCTCGTGATTTCATATGAAGCTTTTAGTTGACGTCACTGGTGTGACCTACTTTATTCTTGGGTAATTGTAAAAAAAATTGAATACAAACGGATTAAATTACATATTTTAGTGGACATTCCATGATTGACAACATGTGGTTTGATGCTCTGTAGCAGCCTTTTTGTAAAATGCATTTTTCATCAAAAATGTCACTAGTGTAACTGTCTCTGGTGTTGCCCTTCTTATATGTAACACCAATGAGGATTGGTAACACCGGTGACGCCTATGGATAGATAGAAAAGTGGATGTTTCTGTAGAATGACCCAGATACATTATAATTTTATCATGCATTTATGTACATTTTTGGTAAATTGTTGACATTAAAGCAAATGGGTAAAAAGCTGAACTGAAAAATGTATAATGTAAATGTGTAATTACATATGTCATGTTACAACGTGGATTTTTCAGTGAAACAAAGTGAGTAAAAAAAAAACATTTGACATGTTTGGTTATTTGTGAAACAGCTTACAGCATGAAAAACTTCATGAAGCCTATGTCTGTAGCTCTCCTTCTTATCTCCTAAAGTCCCAAGACAATTTACAGACAATTTAACCTCTCTTGTAGACAATTCGAGTTCTTTCAATTAACTAAGCACCACCAGAATCAATACCTCAAGGATTAGCTTTCTATCCTTAGCCTGAATGTCCTTGTAAGCTAAGAGAAAAAGGATGTTTTGAAGTTTGGTTATTGGACACCTGTATTTGATATGGCATTCTGAACCATCCTCTGTTCTTTTTTCTGAAGGAGAACAAGTTGGAGCACTAAAGAAACCCTATTTGTGTCTGCTCCATGACCTCCGGCGTCCCTTTAGCAAAACTATTTAAAGCTTAATTCAGTTAGGAGAGTTTTTGCTCAATGGAGCGGTAATGGCGCTGCTGATACTTCTTCAAAATATGTCTTTTAGCGGCCATGTCAACAATGTCCTTGAGCGGCCGGGGGTTCGCGGCAGCACGGGCCTGGTAAATGTTTGTAAGGCGGAGAGTAAAAAGAGCAAGGATGTGTGCTTTATCACTGAGACAGAAGCAGCGACAGGCCTGGAGGGGGGTGGCGAGGGGAGGGAGATTGTTCTGTCTCTTTCCAGCGTTAAATTTTTCAGCAATACAGATTACTCAGCAAATGTCTTAAAGCATCTCTTGTACAATTATAATATGGAAATTAATTAATGTATATGTCTGAAATGGCAGTACAGAATTGTTTAACCAGCAGGCCAGATTTCAGTTCTGAGCAAGAGAGAGGGTTTCAAATGACAACAGTACTGGAATCCTAGTCTCACAAGCCAGACTTCTGCCTGTCATTAGAGATTCTGGAGCATTTTGTTGCTCAACTTTGTGAAGAACCACCTACTTTGACAGAAAAGGACCACCTGATGTCCAAATTTACCTGTCATGGATCATTGTTGTTGTGTGACGTGTAGGTGCAGGGGGTTTTCAAAACAGGGCTACAATAAAACACACCCACAGGGAACAAAGTGGTATATGCCAGCAAGAGTGAGGTTATCTTCTAAACTCTTTAAGGAAAATGAAACTGCTGAATAGCTTTTGAAGATGTGGTGCTGAGAACTTCATAAATGTTTATTAATCCAGCAACTATATCTTACACCAAAAGACACACAGAGCAGGTAACTGTCTCATCAGACAGATTAAAACGTG